TCATAGCGCCCACAATATAGAACACAGATTAGCATTTGACAAACCAAAAAGTAGCATGACATTAAAAATAACAGGTGTAGACCTTTTTTCATATCCAAAGTCATAAACTGAAATTTATACAACAGATACTTTCAGCCAAAGCACTACGCAGGAGGGGCAGCTGTTGCCAAAGCACACTTCTCAGGTTGTGCCAGAATGAGAGAGTCTGCACGTTCCTAGTATGCACTCAGTCCCCACTTAATACCTGCCCGACAAGTCGCAGATGCCTCCCAGGGGATAGAAGCAGATGATTTCTTTGAAGGTTTTCCTCAGTTCTTGACTCCGGAGTGCATAAATGAGAGGGTCAATGATGGCATTGCACATGATCAGTATGAGATACAAGTTAAAATGAGACATGAAGCACACACAGTATGGATTCTGCGGACAGGAGATGTAGAAGAGTAAGTGGAGGAAGAAAGGGGCCCAGCAGACGACGAAGACCCCGATCAGGATGGTCAAGGTAATTGCCCCCTTCATGTTGGCACCCTGGCGGATGGTACCAGTGCCAGGGAGGACAGCAATCCTCTTAATGTGAAGCCTCGCCATCAGGAACATGTGGACATAGAGAGAGGCCATGAGGACCAGCATGGTGAAGAACATGGTAATGAGGCAGATGATGACAGCGCTGCTGTCCGAGTAAATGATGAAGAGGATGCCCGACACTGTGCATGCTGCCCAGATACAACTTATGATGATCCCTACCCGCTTAACCGTCATAATGTTATGGTACTGGAGTGCGTAAAAGATAGTGAAATACCTGTCCACCGCAATGGAAAGCAGGCTGCAAATGGATGCAAGCAAGGAACTACAGATCACAGAGTCAATGACATTGTCAATATTCACGGTGAAGCTCTGAGCGTCCGTATCCGTGCTGTTTAAGAGGGTGATGACGATGGTTTCCGACCCGTTCGAAACGCTCACCAACATATCTGCCACAGCCAGGCTACAGATGAAAAAGTACATGGGTGAGTGCAGGTTCTTGTTCTTGGCTATTGCCACGATCACCAGAATGTTCTCCAAGAGGCTTATGACACCCAGAGTCACAAACACCTCGGGGGAGACAAAAAGTTGCTCATAGCATCCTCCATCGGAGTACCCTTTCCCCAGGGACGCGCTGGTATTGCTGTGCAGCCCATAGCTGCTGCGGTTCCAGAGGTGGAGGGAAGTATACATGCCATGGTGGTGGGTGGAATTCATCTTCCTGCAGCAGCTGGATTCGAATCCTCCTTGGATTGATCCAACCTCCTGGGTCAGGGAAGCTCCGGCGGTTTTCTCCCAGCTGTATGTGTGTGTGGAAGTTGGGAGGCTGCAGTTGGCGCCTGCTGTGAGCACCGAGCACGGTTAGAAGCAGCGGGGCTTGCAAAGGAGTTGTTGGTCTCTTCTGCCTCTGCTCCTCATCCCTTTAGAAACTGGGGCTTCCGAATGCTCATTCTCAGTTGGCCAGTCCGCCTTTTGCTTTTGTTCTCGTTGCCGTTTTTCCTTTTAGCTTTATTCACTCAGGGTCTTTTCAGAGTCCTTTCCCTGAGAGTCACTGTACAGCTGCGAGCCGCGTCTGCGCGCCCACACTCACACCGGAGCCTCTCAGAAGTTCAGCTTCCAGCGGGAGCATCCCTGTGAGCCAGAGAGGCTGGTGCCGGCTGCTGATTTCTGAGAGGTGGGGAAAACTGTTCTGAATGACTCCGCCTCTGCTTCCTTCTGACCAATCCATGTTGAGTGGTTTTCTGAGCCACCCATCCTGCACAGGGCAGCACCGGATCAGTGGCCGAAGCGGGCGGGGTGAGAAATAAGCATCTTGTAAAACATTGGGTTTTCCTTTTCAAGTTTTAAGAAAAATGACTTAATGGTTCGAACACATTCTGTGATAGCGCCGAAATCATCGGGAATCAGCCAGGCTCATTCCTACTTGCGACAGGGGCTGCATGTGTGTGCGAGGGTAAAATGAAATGAATTAGCAGGCTGTCCTGTGCTCCTAAAGGAAATGCTGTCCCTCTGTCCGGGATCCCCCTGAATGAGTGAAGGTTCCGTTTGAAAGACTCGAAACACAGGCACTCTTTTAAGAAGATAGGTAGGTATGCTGTGGATAATTAGAGTTCAGCCAGGAATTAACAATGGGTTCACTTCTTGAATGCTAGTAGCCGTGTTTCTTCGTTGCAGCTGAGAAAGTTCTCATTCACAATATTTAAAAGTTCAAGTGGCATTAATGAAAGCATGTTGATCGTGAACTTAGACAAATCAACATTGTGTCCATGTTCTGTGTGGTGTTTGGTTGGTTGATTGCTTGGTTGGTTTGTTGAATTTTTGTTTTTGTGGGTTTCTTTCTTTCTTTTTTTAAAGGTAGAGTTCTGGGTTTTTTGTTTGTTTATTTTTTTCTTCCATAGTTGGAAGTGTCACAAATTAAAGCTGTAAATACTCCGGCTATGCAATTACTCAGGCCAGGTGTAGTGGGTGCATGTTTAGGTATGTTACTTTGAAGGGATCACAGGAAAATCATGAGCAATTAATTAAACTTAAGGTTATGACATTTTCTATGTCATTTTCTTGTTACAATTGTTTTTGGATTTATGTGTCAGTGGTTTGTAAGGATTAACCATAAGATATAAACCAAGACAGAACTGTTCATAGTGCATCTTTAGTCCTCTACTTCTCTCTCTCTCTCTCTCTCTCTCTCTCTCTCTCTCTCTCTCTCTCTCTCTCTCTCTCTCTCTCCCCTCCCTCCCTCTCTCTCTCCTGTGACAGAGACAATGCTAAGCATTGCTTCTGAACATTTTGTTACATTAGTGTCACCATGCATCTCTGAAACTAAGCAGGATGTACTACTGAATTCTGGCTAGTAGACAGTGTAGAAGCTGGTACACACCGGGTCACCTTCCTTTTGATTCTGCTCTCTCTCCTTCTGGCAAATGGCTGCAGAGTGTCTAGAAGCCTTGTGTATAGCTGTTGGAACCTCACCAGAGAAGACATCCATGTCTCAGTAACTGTGCAGAATAGAACTCCTCTCTACATTCCTTCCTTCTTGAGCCTGTCAACTACCATGCACATGCTAGGAACAAGGGGCAGCCTTTACTATTGTAAATTCCCAAGCCCAAGGTTCAGCTGTTAACAGTAGCTGACAATTAATACCTCCGGACACTTTACTAGAGTCTCTGAGAAGCAGTAGCATGAATTACATAGAAACCTATTTACCTTATTCTTCACATTTTCTTCAATAGTGAATTGTCTAACTAATAAGTAAGTGATACAGAAGAGATCCACTGGGTTGTTTAAGCATCAGATAATGAACTGAATGATCTTTATGAATAGCTCTTGCCTTCATACCACTTCTCTCTATTACATAAGTGCACATGACGTTTCTACCTAACTCACAGTCCCTACTATGTCCAATATATCAAACTGGGGGACATGCTTTTGGGGTCATAGCAAATAATGTATTCCTAACCCAGCATCATGAAGGTTTTTATTGTTTTATTGAAATTGCCTGTGGTGGAATGTTATTCCTATAGGTATAATATTAGAGGTGATCCTAATACCTGAAGTGAATTCTTTAATAACTGAATTAAAGAATTTCACATAGAGGCTTTTTCCAAGAATAACTTTTAGTGGCCTTTTCTTTTTCTTCTCTGTATGGCCATACCTTCTTATTTACTTTCCTACTTATTTTTATTATTACTTTTTGTTCAAAACTAGACATACAAAATAATACGTTGCAGTTACTCTGGAAATCATATTTCCAGACTACATGAAGTCTATTGTTACTGTTGTTAGTAACAATTTATCATTGTTGCTTATTCACATGACTTCTAGTCCATGTACCCAATGAATTGTTGGATTGGAGATCTTATTTGTTAGTGGGTGATGGACTGAGGCAGCCACAAACAGTAAGTCTCCCAGCTCCGCATGTCGAAGCAAGCTGCAGTGTGCCAACCTGGCATGGCTGCTTCGCCTAGCTTTGCTCTCTGTTGGCACAGAGCAGAAAGCCATCAGAGGTGAGGACTTAGGGTGTTCTTGGATCTTTTATGGCCTTAGGCACAGGTCCACAAATAGAATGGCTTTCTGTATTCTCGGAGCTTGTTTTATCTGTCTCTATGGAGACCCAGGTCAGAAACCTCACTTGCCTTTACAAATTTTGAATTCTTTTCTCCCAGTTGTGCCTAATAGGTCAGACAACCACAAGATTAACAGTTGCTCCTAGTGCCACTGGGGAAAAGTCTATTCTTACAGGAAACATTCTAGGTCAGGGAAAAAGCCCTGGAAGTCTGGTTTTCCAGGAAGTCCACCAGACAGGTGAGGTGAGTGGCTTCTCCTGTAAAGGGCTGGGCTTCTAAGGACTTCTACGTCAGGCTGTCCCCGGCACTTCCTAATAAGAGCTGCTTTTTAGTATTTTTCTGGCTGCAGATTTTCAAGGCTGTGAACCAAGCTAAGTGCCATGATGTTCAGTTTTAAAACTTGCTGTAATTTAGTAATTTACTTGAATAAATTCTCCCTGGATTGCTTGGCACATTGGTTAATTTTTTTTCATGTTGTATGCATTATGATGTTGACAAATGTTGCTAGTGGTGTGGATTTAATTGGTGAGAGATTTTCACTAGTCCTTGCTTTAGCATTTTTACTGAGATTATACCTCGATCATTGCCTTTTATCTTAAAATAAATCTTCATCAACCCTCTCCCTTAACAGATGATGATGAATGACTAAATAAGTATTTTGTAGTTTTCCTACATCTTTTATAAAAGTTTGTCATATGAGAAAGGAAGTAATAAAAAGACTTGTTTGAAAATCTTAATAAGATAATGTGAATTTTGAAACAGTAAGTACATATTAGTAACAAAAAAATCTGTTTATTCCATTTTTTTATCTTTTCATGAAAAAGGTTTTGTTTTTGGATATTAGTATTAAATGAAAATCTTATAAAAATCAAATACATGTAAAGTCTCAATTTTACTTATTAAATATAAATTTAGAATTATGGTAAGTATGCTGAAAAGATTACCTACCTCAAAGTAGACATATTATTCATTTTTGATTTGCCTTTTTTCTGTGAGCTGGAACAGTACAACCAACAATGTCAAAACCACTGAGATTATTTTGAAAACTTTATTGTGATTTTTTTTTTAAAAAAAGCAAAACTTAGGTTATAACTTATTTCTGTCCTAGAGAGAATATTTGCCTTAGATTTTATAACAACGAAAATAAAACATTCCCATAGAGAAATATTTACCCAAACCACGGCACCCCTCAACCCTCCTTTTAGGTGATGTTTAAAGGTTTTTTCACCTCATAGTAAAGAGTTCCAAAGTTCAACCATTTCGGAAAATGTTGCAGACTCATCTTCTGCCTGAAGTTTAAAGCTTGCAGGAGCAGATCAAGTTCCTCGGCTCTCCCACTACAGAAAGCTGCTTACCTCCATTCCCCCCTCGACACCTGGGACACGGTGCCTCTCCTCATCTTGTTCATCAGGTGTGTATTGTCACACTGTGTTCCGCTGTAGCATTTGTTCCCAAATGTAAATTTATTCCAAGCTTGAGCAATGCCAGGGAACATCTTGAGCATAAGGCAAATTTGGGGCTTGGTTTTCTGATTGTATGCAATGTGGGAGACTGTACCCAGCTAACGGTGAGAATACCCAGAGGACACCCAGACATCAGTGGTGACCTCAGGTAGCACTGCCTATGGCACAAGCCCAGTCAGGCACGGATGGGCTGAGACCCTGTGTAGGTCTGAGGTGATCTTCTGTTTATCTCCCCGCATCACTCTCACACTGTCGGCTTCCAGAAACTTCCACAGGCAGTTCACAGGCCTTTTCCTTCTCTCAGTGTGTTGTGGCAGATTGTGCATGTGCAAAATGCTGTTACTGTTTTTTGTAGCTAGAGTTTTCCAGTCCTGCCTGGCCCACGGTCTGGACAAATCTCTCTCACCCGCCAGTCCCATAGTTGCTCAGACCCAACCAAGTAAACACACAGAGAGACTTATATTGCTTACAAACTGTATGGCTGTGGCAGGCTTCTTGTTACCTAGTTCTTCTATCTTAAATTAATCCATTTCTATATATCTATACCTTGCCATGTGGCTCATGACTTACCAGTATCTTATATCCTGCTTCTCCTCATTGTGGCTGGCAGTGTCTCTCTGCCTCAGCCTTCCACTTCCCAGAATTCTCTCTCCTTGTCCCACCTACACTTCCTGCCTGGCTACTGGCCAATCAGCACTTTATTTAGACAGAGTGATATCCACACCAGTTTTTCTTTATTTCTTTAAATGTATTCATGATGGGTTTTTTTCCCTTGGTATTTTGTGCCTTATTCCATTTTGCCGATAAAACCTTCATTTTAAAATTTTATTTAAATATGACTGTACAACACATGATTATTTTAGGAATACATATGTCCTCTGACAGGCAAATTAAATGTGCCATGATTTGCAATATCTGTTCACTAAATCCCAGTTTGGGACACATTGCTCAGATTATTCTAACTACAAAAATTGTGCTTATTTAAAAATCCTTAGCTGAGCACTGTAGCTCACATCTCTAATCCCCCTACTCAGGAAGCTGAGGCAGGAGAAATATCATGAGTTTAGGGCCAGTCTGGGCACGTCACAAGTTCCAGGCCAGCCTGGATTGCATTTGTGAGACTTTGTTTCAAAAACAAGTTCAGTGAGATATCTTGGTTGTAAAGATGTTTGCTGCCAAGACTGACAACTGACTTATGTCATCAGAACCACTTGATGAAAGAAAAGTCCACTCCCACAAGTTGTCCTTGACTGCCACACACATTTCTGAACACACACACACACACACACACACACACACACACACACACACATACACACACACACACACACACACACACACACACACACACACGCACACACATTTGCACACACACATGCACTGAATGTTTTGTAGATTAGGATAAAAGTTTCAGTGAGTTATCATAACTCAAAGTAAATATTCTGAATTAGTTCACACTTCCAAGTCCCATATCTTCTGTCTTGAAACTTTCACCTTTAGAAGGTCACTTCAGACAGGAGACAGGAGGCTTACGAAGGGGAAAGAAGAAAATGCACTATGTTGTCCTTATGACCCCAATCCTCAGTATAGGGTTGCTTTTTATTTTTTTTAAACATTGATGACTGTAGGAAAATCTCATTTTTACAGTGTGCTACTTTTGACACTTTTAAAAAGGATTCTTTTCATTAAAGATTCTCTCATGAGGTTTTTGTCTGGGATCTGGGAGGCTAAGGTGCTTGAGTCCAGGCTCTTCAGTGAACTTGACTGTGTGATATTGGGCAAGTCACTTAACTTCTCCGTATTGTTGTAAGGGATGTAGTACCTACCCCACAGGGTTGCTGTGTGATTAGCAAGAGATAGTAATATCTTTAAAGCATTTAAGGTTCCTGAAGAAGGTGCTATTTAAATATAAGACACTTATTAACAGTTTATTTGTAATAGAAAATGTTAAAACAAAACAAAACAAAAAACCAAAAACCCTGACCAGGCGGTGGTGGTGCACGCCTTTAATCCCAGCACTCAGGAGGCAGAGGCAGGTAAATCTCTGTGAGTTTGAGGCTAGCCTGGTCTACAAAGTGAGTTCCAAGACAGAATCCAAAAGCTACACAGAGAAACCCTGTCTTGAAAAACAAAACAAACAAACAAACAAAAAAAACCCAAATCAATAAAAATGGAAGTGTTTAATGAGCACTGCATGCACCACAACTTAAACTATTCCTTATAAGCACTGCATGTGCCCATGATGGACCTGGGCAGCATCCCCAATGCACAGATGGTGGCTCCCAGTAGCCTGTGCGACATGGAACTAGGAGCAACGTGGCAGTACAATTAAGAGCCCGAGACCTGGGCATCGTGGCAGCTAGCTGAAGACCTCCAGGCACATTTTATCACTGCTGTGGAGCCTAACCAGTGACCAGAGTGGTAGGGGAAAAAAAGATTTGTGTACAGTCAAACAGTGAAGAATCTAAAGGACAGAGAACAGTCAACAGGTCCCACAATAGAAATTGCAGAGTTCTCCAACAGGTCAACATAGAGAAAAATTTCCTTAGATTGGTAGGAAGAGATGCCGTCAGCCATCATAGTAAGATCAGGAATGGGAAGGTGAAAGGGAGGTTGTCACTTGGCATTCCTGAATTGAAGGCTGAGAGAGAGTCAAGGAGTATGTACACATGCAATGTTTGCCCAAGAACTTCTGGGAAAATAACGACAAGGAGCAAGGCATTTGTTCATTAAAAGCTCTCTCTGCTGGGGATCTAGCTCAGTTTGTAGAGTGTAGCTGAAGTTATCCTGCTCCTGCCCAGCTCCCGCGGCCCTCAGACCCAAGTAAACACACAGAGACTTATATTACTTATAAACTGTATGGCCATGGTAGGCTTCTTGCTAACTGTTCTTATATCTTAAATGAACCCATTTCTATTCATCTATAAGTTGCCATGTGGCTCATGGCTTACTGGTATCTTAACATCTGCTTCTCATTGTGATGGTTGGCAGCATCTCCCTGCCTCAGCCTTCCACTTCCCAGAATTCTCCTCCCTCTTTGTCCCACCTTTACTTCCTGCCTGGCTACTGGCCAATCAGTGTTTTATTTATTAATCAATCATCCACAGCAGTAGAGTGCTTGTCTAGTGTGCATGAAGCCCTAGGTTCAATCCCAGTACTACATGAATGGATGCGCTCCTATAATCCCAGCACTGAGGAGGTAAAGGCTGGAAGATCAAAAGCTCGATGTTATCTTTAGCTAATAACAAGTCCAAGGCCATCCTGGGCCACATAGACCCTATTTCAAAGAGGTGAAAAGGGGGAAGAAAATCCCCTGCAGCTCATCCTTGGAATAAAGCCATCCTAACAACTACATCTGTCTGTAGTGTGCAGCATCCAGCAGCCTCTTAAACTAAAAAGGGCTGTAGGTCTCCTCAGCTCTCCTCCTGACTCGGCAGCACAGCTGTGCTGTGATGGGTACCAATTTATCAGTTACTGCACATACATTTATCTTTTTGGCAAGCATATGCATTTATTTACAGCAGGAAATGGTAGCCACACTTTGGGGTGCTCCCAACACTGCACATAACTGGTGAAAGCAGGAAGACAGATTCCCCCTGGTTGATGAATTAACTAGGATTATTTTTTAATTTCTTATTCCTTTGTTGTATTTTTAAAATTTGGTTTTATGTTTTAAATACAATAAAACTCCCCTTATGGATTTTCCTTTCAGAAGTTCTATATATGGAACTGTCTTTGCCACACAAGTTTACTGTTGCTTCCTTTTTGAGGCTTAGCTAAAACCCCTAGTGGGAGAACCTGGGTTCATTTCCTATGTTGGAAAGCAGTTAAATATGAATATGTTATGCGTAGTGTGTATGTATAAATCTACCCACTTTATTCCTTCTTAGCAATTACGTTTTGGTACATTTTGTCTTTCACAGGATTGTTATACTTTAAGATTTTGCTAAAATCACTCTCCCTGTGTCCAGTGGAAATTACATTTTTATGGCAACTGAATTTTAATTTAGATGGAGGTTTGATTTTTTTTTGATCTATGACATTATTTTACAAATGAGACTCAAGGTATTGTTACTGTCCTGGTTCACACTCCAAATATATCCGAGCCAGACTTAGAGTCCACTTGATATGATCCCAACCGTATCTGCTTCCCTTCAACGATAATGAACCTGTTAGTTCAGAGACGTGATCTACTGATACCTGAAATCCCCCTGCAGCAACAGCCAAGCCCTCTTCACCCTCAAGCGAGAGTCCAAAACCACAACCCTCTTTTTAGTGGAGTAAAAGTGTGGTAAACTTACAATAAATACCTTTGAAGGCTTTGGCTTTTCCCCATCGGCTCCTTTCTTGGTTCCTTTCTCTGCAATCAGTGTAGCTGTCTTTCTTTTTAAATACCTGCTTTGTTCACAGCATTTTCACTAATCAAAACTTGGTTGTAAAAACATAGAAATATAATTCTCATTAGATAGCCATAATTCTTAAACGTGCCCCAAATAAAATAATATACTGCTAGGTATGTATTCCATAACAATGTGGTGTATATGGCTAAAAACTTAATGTATGTCTCAATTTCCTCCCTACAGTATTAGAATAACAATTGTCAGCATAATCACTACAAAGGACCGCTGAGAGAATTAAATGACCTAATATCTAGGAGGCCTTCTGACGTGTGATTTATATAGAGTCAATGCTGTGGAAGCATCAGCTATATTGTATGTTCCCTGCCTGAAGTCTCTAGGAACTTGTAGTCTACCCTGGGAATTGGACATTCTTTCCACACTTCAGTCATGGGAGTGATGTTTTTTTGTTTATAGAAGAAAGAATTTAATTGGAGGCCATTATCATCATGGTGGGTAGTGTGGCAGAAGGCAGACATGGTGTTGAAGCAGCTGAGAGCTCACATCTGACCCACAAGTTGCAGGCTAAAAGAGAAGCTGAGTCTCTGATT